CGGTCAAAAGGTGGGTTGCACGGAGTGTTTAACCCAAGGACTTGCAATGGCTAAGCCGATGCAGTCACGGGCGGAGGTATGCCCGACCAATGACCGATCGAAGTACAGCACAAGGACTTCGAGGCAGGGTGTTGAATTCTGTACATAGGAACGCCCCACACCTTTGGTGAGCCCAGGCTACGGTATAGTATTGTATAGCTGTATACTATGTGACCGATGCAGCGCCTTTGGTTCAAGAGTAAAAGCGTGACCGCTCAGGGTTTTACAGTTTAACTTCCTGATGATCTGGAGGACGTCTCTCTCCTTTTATGGTGGTTGCTACCTGCACGGGGCCATCATCCATACAGCTCACCAAAGCGGACTTTCCTGTTTGGGGACACCATCATGGGCCTGGAGACTGTTGGCTCTCAACATGGCCTTGAACGATATCCAGAATAACTCCCGCTTCTGGTCCATAACGGAAATCGATGAGTTCTGTAGGCAGAGGCAAAGCCAAGGGCAAAGCTCTGCAGCTGCTGACCAAGCACAGGGACACTTGGAAAGGCGCGGCAAAGGCTACCACACATGGAAAGGCAAGGGCCGCGGTGGGAAGCAGCAGGCTGGAATTGGGTGACACGGCGACCATGCGCCTCCCCTGCTCCGTTGGGCGTACGTCACAAGCCCTCCCACCTAAGTAGGCAGCGACTGCTTGGATGGCAAGGAATTTGCAAGAAGCACCTGCGTTCAACCGGTGCCCGGGAGGGAGACGGATCAACACGTTTGACAAACCGGCCCCTCATTTTCTTGGGGTTTTGAGGGGCGGGCTTCCTCAGCCGCTGAAGTTACTCATAAGTCTCGGCTCGGGTCTCCCGGATCCCAAGGGGACGGTTGCTTTAGGCGAGAAGCGCTCATGGCGCGAGGAACCAGCTTCTTCTCGGGCTTGGCGTTGCCCGGACTCTAAAGCGACAGTTGCTTTGGGCACCGATTCCCTGCAGCGCTCCGGTAACAAACACTCCTCGCGGGAGACACACCATGCATCGCGAACTCAGCTGGATACCAGTGGCGGGGCTGCTTCGGGAGCGGGCCAGGAGCAGACACGGGACGCAACCCAGGCATGTTCCTCTGGGACAGGATGCACTGGGCGCAAGCGTGTGCTCCTTGGTGCGGACTTTGACAGCGGTTGTTCGATTCCGGAACTCTGTGTTGGTGCCATGGCAGGGATCCAGGAATTGGACAAGATCAGAACCATGTTCGATGCCACTGTCATTGGTGTCAATGACAACATCAGGGCCAACACGGACAAGAAGACAACCGCCCCCACGCTTTATGACCTCCTCAAACTCCACTTTGGTGATTTGGGCCTCACGCTCTTCAAATCAGACGTCAGCAAGGCTCACCGAAGGGTTAAGGTGCTCAAGAGGCACTGGAGGTACATGGTGGCCAAGATCAAAAAGCAGTCTTGGGTCAACAAGGTTGGCACATATGCGGTGGCCTCGGCGCAGCTCTACTGGGGCCGCCTGGCGGCGATCCTCACCCGGCTGTCTTACCACGTCTCTGGCATCTTCCTCTGGCTGCTGGTCTTCGTCGACGACTTCATGGCACTCATGAAGGAAGAGCTCGGGGACGTTGGCACGGCCACATTGATGCTCTTCCTCACTCTGGTGGGCTGCCCAATCTCTTGGCATAAGAGTGTCTTGGGTACGATGGTTGGGCTACATGCAAAACATCTCGGACTCGGTTTGGCTCCACTTCAGAAGTTACAGGAAGGTGAGCTTCACATCCGTAAGGAAATCACCTCCCTTCTCGGCAAGCTCCAGTGGGTAGCGAAAGCCTACCCGCAGGTGAGCCCACACCTCCAACCTCTTCACGCTTGGGAACAGAAGTTGGAGCGGAAATTGCCCGCCAAGTGATCTGGTACGTTTCCTGGCCACCCTTCTCCTTTCAATCCTGGATGCTGGTCCTTGTGTTCCCCTGCGCCTTCAGCTCAACTCCTCTTGTCATGGGAGCAGCGACGCAGGGGAGGATGACAATCGTGTGGCCATTGGGGGTTGGTTCTCGACGATGCCCCATCCCGCGAAGGAAGAGGTCTACTGGTTCTCGCTGGATGTCAAGAAGACGCCCTGGGTCCAGGCCTTGCTGGCACACACTTCGGTGAAGCGTCGGATAGGAACGTTAGAACTTTTAGGTTCCCGTGGCCGAGACCATTGGACCGAGTATGCTTGAAGCACACCTTCCCCTCACTACAGACAACGACGGGAATGCCTATTCTGCCAGCAAGAGATCTTCCAAGAAGTGGCCTTGCTCGGCTTTGCTCATGGAACTCGCGGCCCAGGAGTTTCATAGGGGCATTTTTGCTCATGTCACCCAATGTCAAGAGGTGTTCCAACACGGGGGCAGATTTTAGCTGTGAGGGGTTCTCCCCTTGCCGTAGAAAGGATGTTTCGGTATCTTGGACCCCAAACTGGATGGTCCTGGATAAACTTCTTGCCTTCAAATCTGGTCCAGCTTGACCAGCGGCTGCCTCTGGCGCCCTGGCCTGCTATTTCTGACAGGATCCCTTGTGGGTACAGTTGCCCCAGGCGCTGATTACCACCGGTCTCCCTTACCTTTTCGAGTGTTGAGGGGTATTTTCTCCTCGCGGACTTTCGGGGTTCGTTTCTTCTTGTCCTCGGACTCTCGGACCGGATTGGGGGTTGTGAAACTCCCCTTGGATCAATCCGCAGGGGGGGTTGGCGTATTTCTGACCGGTCTTCGGACCGGTCTGAAGCTATGCCTGCCCCGGGTCCCTCGGAATTTTGATTTGATCTGCCACTTCACGGATCTCGGCGTGTGGTGAAAAAGAGTGAGAGTTTCGTCGGTCTCCTCTCTTCAGGGCATGTGGCTGCACATGACATTTAGATAATGTAAAGGTCCAGGAAAGGTCAAGGGGGTCCGGGGGAGGGCTCACCAGTATCTCAATTTTTTAATTTCATTCCCGGTATGCAGGGCCCGGGACCCTCCTTCCCAATATTTAGATTATTCAAGTTATCTAAATTCCCCGAACCCCCAGGGAACACGGACAGGTTGTTTTTGGAAGTTGCATCTTGTGTACATAATATTTCGGATTTAAAGCATCATTTCCTGCTTACAGCACAAGAGCCAGCTTCCAAATAAATCCGGTTTAAGCCGCAAGCCGCGTGTGCTCCCCCTTCTCAGCAGCCAAGCCAGGTCTTTCATCCGAACAAACAGTCATAGGGATGATGCTCGTCCGCGTCATCATCCTCCTACCTGTCGACGTTTTTGGTTGGAACTCTCACGCAAATCGTAGCCCCCTACCCCTCCCAACACAAATGATAATGATGGCGACGATGCTGTGCTTCTTGCATGATGGCATTCCGAGTGTGATTGTTGGCATTACCAGTGCGCTTATGCTGTTCTGGGCTTCGGTACCACATGCGCGCTGTTTCTTCTTATTTGCAAAGTTTTTCGGCATGATGTTCTGTCGTAGTTTGTATCGGCAGTTGTCATTCTGTGCTGACTTTCGGCTGGGTGCGTAAAAGTCAACCCGAGCATGTGCTTCAATGGGGTTTTGGGGTTTAGGGTTTTGTTTAAGCTTTTGAATTTTGGGTTTTTACAATATGTAAGGCTTCGAGTCGACAAGGGCTTAGGGAGGATTTGCGGTGTATGTTCTGCTTTAGGCTTCGAGCCTGCAGTTAGGTGGGCTTTAGGGTCGGCTGTAGTGTTTTAAGTCAAGTTAAGGTAAGGGTTTGTGGCTTGCTTGAGAAGGGCTTGCGTGTGAGCCCCGGCCGCCAGCACCACCCCACCATACAGTGGCAGCTCCAACGGCCCTCACCCCTTTCCGCACATGCCAGCCCCTACCAGACCATATATACCATTGGGGTGGAGTGGTTGTGGGAGTTTTGGGGTTTTGGGTCAAGCTTAAGCTTTTGAGTCTTGGGTTTAGGGTTTTGGGTTAAAAGTTATAAGGCTTCGAATCGACAAGGGCTTAGGGAGGATTTGGGGTGTAGGTTCGCGAAGGTTGACAGTTTATGTTCTGGTTTAGGCTTAAAGCCTGCAGTTAGGTGGGGTCTAGGGTTGGTTGTAGGGTTTGAAGTTTAGGTTAAGGTTAACAAAAGCAGGAGCAGGCGCTACTGCGTTACCTTATAGGAATTATGGCTTGCGTAGGGCATGTGTGCGATGCTGGCCTTGTCTGCGACGCCTGGCCGTCCCTCCAGCTGCAGCTCCAACGGCCTGGCCCCCACCCTTCTCCACACACCCCCCCACCCCCACCCCGTACCAGACCATACCATGTGGGGGTGACTATAAAACCAAACACCGAACTATATATAAAAATATTACTCCATCTATATATACATATATATATATATAATGTACAAAATATACACATACATACATACATACATACATACACACAAACAGTGTAGATGTTCGTCTTACCGGTATAATTTCCTCCTTACCGAAACCCAGGAACCCATGAACAGAACCTATTTATTTAATCACCAAACAGGCTTCCTTGAACGATCCCTGGACTTCGCCTCGTCTTCCAGTTCCCGAAACCGGCCCCTTTATGATTTCAAGAATGCTTCCCAACCAACCACCCCGACTGCTATTGCCATGAAGATGCCATGTCCAGCAAAGGCAAAAAAAAGAAAAAGACTACAAACTCAACGAAGAGATCTCGGCGAATGAGGCATGCCCCTTTCCGGCAATCCACAACTTAGGTTGCCTTGTGTGCGAGTGTGCAGCGGAAGATATAGGAGGCACATCATCTTCGAGATTTGCATCAACGCTTCACACTGGAGCATTGCAAACTTTATTCTGAAAGAACCAGATCGAGGTCGCCTGCACGGCTAGCGATGCTGAAGGGACCATCATGTTCGATTTCACAGGATCGGGGCATGGCGGGGGGGGTGCAGCTGTAGTGGCGAGAGAAGGGGGTTCAGTGCCAAGGGGCCGCTTGTCGTAGCCAGGTCCGTGTCATTGGCATTGTCAGCGACAAGTTAGAGACGGGCCCTGCTCGCATGGAGGCACATTTGCGTGAGCATTTGTGGTTTTTTGCGGTTTGGACGGTTGCTCGCAATGCATTCGCATGTACCCGTCTGTTGCCTGCAAGATCTGCGAAGGAGTGTCGTGGGTGGGTTCAGGGTTCACGGGAATGATCTTGTCGGGGTTGTGAGGGTTGAGCAAGGTTGAGGAGTGATAAAGGTTGAGGGTCCGCTGGCATTGCGAAGGAGGCGAATGAGATCATGTCGCTCCGGGATGCCTTGGAGATTGCACGAAGCAAGGGAGTAGATGTGATCCTCATCAACGAGGCTCGGGTCCATCTACATGCCCTGCTTGTAGCATTCGTCGTTGAGTGCGGCAGTTGCAGGATGTTTTCAAAGCACCATGAAAGGATTTGGGTTGTGGGAGTTGGGGTTTTTGAGCATCTCATTTTACCGAGTAGTGTCTCCCAGTCCTCGCTTTTGAGTGAGCGAAATTTGCAGGTGCCCTTCCGAAGATGTACCTATCCATACTCGTAGCAGGAGCCAGACCCTCCGCTTGTGAAGATCTTCAGTGTCGGCCCCGGTGGACCATCCGAGATCGAACCAGGAGGGTACAGATCTAAGTGATCATGACTTGTATGGCGTCATGGGTACCATCGGCCCTGTTATTTGCACACTGGGTTTGCACGAAAAGTGAAGAAAAGAGCCTCAGGCTGCAAAACCTTCACAGCCAGGGGCCGTTAAACCTTGAATCTCTGAGAGAAGCGCGACTCATGGAGGCCTGAGGACGCAATGCTCGTTTAAGCCTTCATGGTAACCTTCGCAACTGCGCTCCGGAGCACATGCTGTTAACGGTGATCTGTAGCATATTCGTTCTTAATTGCTTCAGGCGGCCACCAGGGTTTTTGGGTTTGCTAGCTGCTTGGGTTCGCGCTGGCTTTGGGGCTTCGGCAGGACTGGCTGGTATTGTTGAATATGCGGTTGGCAGTCTTTGTAGTGCAGGGTTCCTGAACTGCTGCGCAGCACCCGAGGCATTGGCAAATATGTGTATGCGGAGAAGAGGAAAGCAAAGGAGACCAGCTTCTTTGTCCACATGCTGGCCTAGACCAAACAAAGCTTTTCCATATCCAGTAACTCCGCCTGTGAAGTCTCAAGACCATGGCAATTCATGCTACCGCCTTCATGCCCCCTGTCACCGCAGCCTGCTGCTTGTTCCAGGAGCTGGCCAAAAACAAGGTTCCAAAGATAAAAGAGGCACCCAACTGAGATCGATCAGCTCCGATCGTAAGGGCCTGCTGACGTGGTGTTGTAGGCAGCCTGAAGGGTGTAGGATTCAGGTCTATTGGTTTTCGTGCAGCGTCAAAGCCCCTTTTGCATTGGCCCGGTTGCCCAAAAGTCATCTCATGATGGCCTTGGATCGGATCCAAGCCGTACCAGGAACAGAGAGTTGGTGAAGGTCCATATCATCGAGGGAGCAGGATCCCTATGCCTTGCCCTTAAGTGAAGGTGAAGATCACCTACACGATCGGAGATCACGATTTGAATACGAAGCTTTGGGCTCAGCTTTTTTGAGTGAGAGGCGGCGTGGGTTTCCAAAAGAGGATTTATTGCTCCCGGGAGCCGCCCGTGGATGTCCGCAGCGGTTCCCGCTATAGCACTGATTCTTCCAAAATCCCGAAGCCGCCGCGTCCTCGAGAGACGACGAGCGATTCACTGTAGATTTGTTTTTTTTGCGCGGTCCAACTTAGTTGATGCTTCGTGCTACTGCCGTGGCTGACTGTGTGCGTGCGGGTACCTGGGGTCGTGCTCTTACCACAGTCCCCGTGCCCGTTGTCGCTTTCAGTGATTTATAGCCGACTTGCGTACACGTACACCTTGTGTGCTTGTTAGGTGTCATTTGTTTTACACTCGCAGCTTGAATGCTCAAGACCTGGTTCGCCAAGGTCCAGGAAATGACTGTGCTCGCCTAGGGAGGTTAGTGCCTGTCTTGTGCCTTTGTAGTCAACCTAACGGCTCCAAGCTCTGATCGATCTTCCTGCCGGTTGCTTCTGCTCTTGCATTGCTTCGACCTACCATTGGCTACCCATTGCTTTGTGAGCGAGAGTTAACTGGATTCCTCTGGCCCTAGGACCTCTGCATCCGATTGTGGATTGCTGCTCTGCTGCTGCCGCTTCGGATTGCCTTTCCAACAAGCCACCGATTCACAACCGATTTCCTGGATTTCCCGGCCTAGTCCACGTTCGTGTTTATGTTAGGTCGTGCCAACGAGAAGATGGCGACTCCGATCGGTTCTCCTCGTGTCCCTTCGATGATAATTCCCCCGCAGCCCGCTGCGCCTCGCACGCTTTGCTTGCTCGCACTGCTGCTGCTCTGCCGCTTGCTTCGCCTGTTGAGGACGATCAGGGTGCTTTGCTGCAAGTGCCCCTGGCTCCATCAATGCCAGCATGCCATGTGCTGCCGATGCTCGTGCTTTGCCTGCGTTGCCTTCTTTTTCTGCGAGCCCTGACCACTACGGTCCGGGGCTGGGCCGAGATTGGCTTCCGCCCGGGCCCTCCTCTTTGGCAACTGGCCAGATGGCCTCATGCCATGGACCCGGTGCTACGATTAATGCAGCGGGCCACGATGCCCCCCCAACGATCATGGCAGGCAGATTGTCGGCTCCGACCCTCTCGAGATTTTGAGGGATGGTGTGACTGATCTCGCTGAATCGTTCGAAGGAAAGCTCAGCGATCTCTGTAGGCTGATCAAATTTGCGCGATGTATTCGAATATCTGGACCCGTCAGGTCAATGTAGTTCCTGGGAAGGAGCAGGGCTTGGCTACCCTTACGGGATCGCTTTTCAAGAAGCTGCGCCCGCTCATCGATGACCAGAGCGGAAAGGTACCTCCCAAGCATGCCGACATTATCGATTAATACAAGATCGTGGCGGCAACTGCATTCGGTCGAGTCGTGCAGACATGTGGCGATTCTGCAAAATTTTGCATCTGTATGTACCTTTATGTTTTGACCGGTACTTTGAAACCTCTTTTGTTCTACGCTTTGAGCTCCGTTTTCAGTTGTACAGTTGCTGACTTGAGATGCACGCAGGCGCTTTTGTCCGAGCAAAAAATTTCATGGTTGCGGAGCGCTACGGCGCTCGTAGGGTCTTTGGTTTGCTGGGCTTGAACTTTAGAAGTTCAGGGGCCCAGGCTTGGAGAGTCCTTTTGATATGGGACAGGGGTGCAGGATCCTCCCCCTTCGATTTCGAACGTGCCCGCAGTGCTCCAGGTGGAATCTTTCCGCGCTCGGGGTGACTTTGATCCCCCACTCCGCTGGCACTGATTGGAAGTCCGTAGTTTCGCCCATAGCAGTGCCAATTGGCACTTAACTGCCGATCAATTCGAAGCCGACATGGAAGCAGCGCAGCTTCCTGCTGTCGCTGCAGCGGCGACGGCCATGCAAGCCTCTCAGCCGGCAAATGCGACTCCTGCTGGCGGTTTGTTTCCTAGAAGCGGTGGAGCTACGCATGCAAAAACCAGTTGGTGATGATTTTAGCTGCACTTCAACAGAATCAGCAAGTCATCGTGCAAATCATGAAGGATCAAGGTGATCAACGTTCGCAAGCGCAGAGTGCTTTAGAGAGCCTCCGTGGAAAGGACCTGACAAAGGTTCTGAGTGCCCCAAGTCCCTTTGATGCGAAGACTAGAGACGAAGAGCTGGCCAAGTTGTCCAACTGGAGCTGGCAGTTTGAATCCTGGCTTGGTACGGCTTGTTGCTGGAGCCGTGGTGGACCGAGTTTGGTCATCGCCACCGGCCTCTTCCTCCGTGTTTCGCACCGCATCTTGCTTTGCGCCCTGGTCCTTTCCTCCGCCCTTCTTCTTATTCCTCCTTGGCTTCTCCTCCACACCCGTAGATCCCGAAGTCGCCGCAGAAGGGAAGACTGAGGTCCAGAAGCAGCTCCACCGCTGCCCTTTCCATTCCCCGGCCCAGGCTGAGAGGACGAATTTTGATTTCCGCCACCATTGCCACCACCGCCGCCACCAGAAGCATTCCCCCCTGACCGAGGATCGGGCACTGTGGCTTCAAGTGGCCCTCCGCTCCGCGCTCCCAGCATCTTCCAGGGCCCAGCGCGGCGTGCTGGAACATACGGCGACTGCCAAACCTGCATCCATTGCCGTCTTGCCACGCCCAACACGGCTTCTGCTGCTTGCCCTTTCCTTTGCTCTTCGCTTTGCTCTTCCTCCATCATCGCCAGGCTTGCCCTCCTCCATGCGCGCCACCTTCGGTGGAGCTGGCAACGGCTGCGCCAGCAGGGCCACTTCAAGTTCCCCCGCCGCCAAGTAGGCGAAGTCCTCGGCATCCGTCAGGGTCGCCTTGAAGTCGAGCTGTCTTTCAAGTCTAAACTCAGAAGCTATTCTGAAAGAGGCCGACGGGTATTTACTCCCTGCGAAGGTTGAGCTGATGACCCGATCCAGACCTCGGCACAGTAACGAGGGGTCCGGTAGCACGAGCTGAAGTTCCCGCCCCCGTCGTAGAAGACGTACCCACTTCCTCGCCACAGCTGCAAAGTCCCTTCAAGGCCCGCTCCAACCTCTGGTGACCAAGAATTGCAGCAAGACTTCGTGCCTGAGTTCCTCCGGCAAGCTTTCCAGCAGCAAAACCGCTGCCCTCTGCTCCACTCGCTGGTACCTGTCCTGCACCGGCCGCTGGCTGAGGACCGACTGCCGCAATGACAAGCGGGCTACAGGTGCACTCACGTCGTGTAGAGGCCCTTCACCCTTTCCACCAGCTGTCTCCACCACATGGCCGCACTCGTGCTCAGAGACGACATCGAAGGCTCCAATTGAGCCAGCCAGTCCCCGGCAGTCGCCGCAGCATCACCGCCTCCCGCACTTGCCAGCGAAGGCAGCTTGGTCACCAACTTCGAGGGCTCCTCGCTCAGGCCTGCATCATTTGCCGCTGCCATCGAAGTAGCCGGCGGGTGGTCAGGAGGAGCAGGAGTACTCGTCGCTGGGCACCAAGCGGTATCGGAGTTCCTCCCGGAGTATAGATGACGACCCCGCTGGTGCCAATCCTTGGTGTTCCAGGAGGAGGTACAGGAGGAGGTGGAGGAGGGATGTTGCTGTTCACCGTGGTAGAACATGAAGCAGTACCCCCAGACCGCATCAGAGCACCCGGAATCGCTCGCCGAGCCTCTTCACTTCGCCGTCGGGCCGTCTCACTGCTGTCACTGCTAAAGGTTCCTTCCAGCATTCTTGCCGTAGTCGCCAAAGGCCTCATGCCTGGAGGAGGTCCAGGTGAATGACTCTGCCCCGTGCTCCCTTCTCCCATCGCAAGCTGCTGGTTCACACGATCCATATCAGCCCAACCCAGCGGCGCAGTTTGCGGAGTCACCGGGGTCAGCGACATGCTGCCCCCAGCTGAGCCTGGATGGCCTCCAGCTGTAGAGCCGGTGGCAGACTGCCACTGCTCCACCCTGCTCATTCGATCTGTCAAAGAAGTCAGCAAACCCGTCATGAATTTCAAAGATCTCTGCACCTGACTGACCTCCTCAGTTCTGCGCTCTGCTGACAGCGCTCGCCCGGACGTGGCTGGAAGATCTTCATCATGAGTATAGTCGCAGACGTCAGCGCCTGAGCGGGTACACCAGCATAGTCCGGCTCCACTTCAGCCTCTTGCACGCGCACTTCCTGAAGATGTCTCCGGGCCTCGGCATCCTCGTTGGCACCCGGCGCGAGAAGTGGTGCCTCCGGCTCCGCGGCAGGCTCCACCCGCTGCTCGCCTTCAGAAGGCCCCTCCATGAAACGTTGGGCTCATAACCCCTGAAAGCGGGGCGCAGTTTTTTCCTTGACCGATCAATAGCTTTCGAACATCTCAAGTGTCATGCCACATGTACAAAGCACAACGCGCACACATCACAGCTAACTCCTGGTCCAGTCTGCCCAAACCCACTTCTCAAAGCCTGCTGGGGCCACGTAATCGTCAGGAATCGGAGCATGCGGCGGAATTGGCGATGCGGAGTATAAGCCATGAGGCGCTCCTTGCATGGTCTGCCCGGTGTGTCCACCCACGAGGCCTCGCTCCAATGAAAATCTCGGGGTGCATGTTGCCAAGGAACGTCATTGACGTAGTATAGGGCACGAGCCTTCCCCATATGTACCCCTTGTGCGCGTCGCCTTGGACGCCTCCCCAAACTGCTTGCAGCAGCAGCAGCAGCAGCAGCAGCAGAATTTGGTGTGTTTGTGCGGGCTGCTTCGTGTGGCTTCGTGCGTGCACCTGCGCGCGCGGCTTCGCGCGGGCTGCTTCGCGCGGGCTGCTTCGCCGGGCTGCTTAGCAGCTGCTTCGCGTGGCTTCGCACGTGCACCTGCGCGCGCTCGGCTTCGTGCGGGCTGCTTCGCGAGCCAGCACGGGCTGTTCGAACGCTCAGAGAAGACGCTTAGAATTTAAATGCATTGAGAAGCCGATTACATAATAGACTCCTCTATGGGGTGAAACAAGCAAGTGAAAGTGAAACAAGAAAGTTGGAAACTAGGTGAAACAGTTTTCGAAAATTCGGGATACGATCTGTGGG